CCCCAAAACCCCAAAACCCCAAAACCCCTCAATCTCATAAATTGCCAGATTTATTAAACCTTTAAATTTTAAATTCACTATTTAGTAAAACATCAATACTAGTCTGATAAGTGATATCAATCATAGCATCTTAAGATAAATTATTATTATCCCTTGATGAAGATACACTTATAAAATTATTATTAGCTTATAGTAAACTCTTGATGCAAGCTAGTTAATCTCTAGAGATCAGTGCTTAACTTGAGGTTTAGGCATTTAATGATATTTTCACTGATACTATTTAGGCTTCATAAAAATTTTTATCATTTGAAATCTAGTTAGTTATTATTTCATCAGCTGCGATATCATTAGTAGGGATAAATTTGAGGCATAGTATTCCTTAGTCATTAACATCTATGTCTAAGTCTCATGCTCCATTTTATATACCCTTAGTTGAAGTTAGACTACAAGTTTAATTTTGAAGCTATTAATCATAAAATATTGGAGTAGAAAAGCAAAGTCTAATAGCATCTCCAACAAAAGCCAAGTTTTATAATCTCGCCAATATCAATAATTCAGTTAATTTGCAAACTTTTGGATTTGACATGATTAGGTTTTGAAAAACAATAGACTAAGTTACAAGCAAGTTAATAAATGGCAATAGTTTATTCCATTGAACTCGAAAACAAACTAATCATTGCCAAATATGTTAAGTTTATATACTTTAGTCAATTACTAAGTTTTATATCTATATTTTATCTGGGAAATTGTAAATCCTAGGGCCAATTGTTTTTAGCATATTGTCTATGAATAGCTAAATTCTGAGACTTAAATTCCTAATCTTCGAGGACTGTGAATAATTAGCAATTCAAGTATGTATTAGTTTTAGTATTGTAGCAGTTTGGCTCTGAGGTATAGGTAAATTATTCTTTTGGTAGGAAGAATTGAATTTATGATCCTTTTTTTAGAGGCACTGAGCTTTAAATGTAGACAGTTAGATCAGTCAATTAAGAAACAGTATTGTTAGATCTTTTAGCATTAATAAATATACCAGATTAAGAGGGATATAGATTTTGACTGAGATTAGTTGCATTAAAGAACAAGAATACTGATTAAGCATCTTAATCAGAAGACTAGAGCTATATAGAGCCCTCGTAAGTTGCAAATGAATATCTATTTCTTAATTAAATATTGAAAAGTCTCTGAGACTGCTAGTTTAACAGTCCTGATTTAAGCAAGTCATCCTATTTTGAATTGAAGCCTTCGATTATTAAATTTTCTCAAATTTTTGATATTACTAGTAGATAAAATAGTTTAATTCTTGCTTACTGTGAATGATGTTGTTTTTCCACATTAATACTTGATTGAGAAAATGTTAGACTTTTAAATGTTCCATTACTATGCAAAGGAGCGGTGAATATATTACTGAGCATTACATCTTAGAAATACTATCCCTCTTATTAATTGAATATTTGGATACTTAGAGAAGCTAGTTTAGTCGATCTTGGATTGAAAACATTTATGCTAATCTTTAGTTCAGTAGCAGCAGGACATTAAGCAGAAAATGTTGAGCACCACTGTTTAATAGATATTTTAGTTTACATAGAGTTTGACTGTTGATTATTAAAACTGATTTAAACTAAAGCTGAAAAAGTTGAAGCATCTTCAAGGTCAAATTAAGGATTATCTTTGAATAAGTCTTATCAAATAGTATGCTTATTATTATTTAGGAATTAGCTGATATAGGATATTACTTGTGAATGAAAATTTTTTTTTTGCTAAGCTAGATAAATGCTAAAATTTTATCAGTGAATTGTCCTACTTAGGGATTAGTTTGTGGGTCCTAAAGATTCATATATCCCCTGGATTAGAATGTTTGGCTGCCATCAGCGAAAAAGCCTAGTCAATTTTATTATAAGATGCATCCATTGAAGCTACCTAGAAACTATATGTCTACTTTAAAGATTTGGGATTTAATAACTCGCTAACTTCTATTTATATGTATTAAGAAGAATCAGGCTTGAGTATAGTTCTTCCTAGAGCACTTTGAAAAATTATGGTTCTCGTGCTTGCTATAATGTTACCTGATTGCTAAGAGGCATCATATATATTTATTCTTGTGTCTGATCCCTGAATATTTGCTGATATATCTATCTCATTAAAGGGGAAAATGATTTAGAACAGCCATCTCCTGGAACTGAATTAGTTATTAATTTTGCGCTATATCAGAGACTTTAAGCTAGAATCCTCTAAATTTTGATTGGTTATTTCTCCTGGTTAAATGAAAAAAGCAGCAGAGTTAGCAGTAGTATCATAGAGAATATTTCCAAAAGAATCAGTAACAAAAATTCTGAATCTAGAGACAAATGTTGAGATTGATGAATTTTAATTGTATGCGAATTTATACTCATTAGTCTCTTCAAGACAATCTTTTTAATTATATAGAACTATATCATTTGCTGAGTATCATCATAGACACAGTTATCGACTTATTATGTCGAACTTGTTAGCTTTAGATAAATTATCTTCAAACGCTGAATGAATTTGTGTAACTTAGTTTTAAAGTCACAGTGAGTGATAGAAAAGTAATTGTCCTTGCATTAAAGGTAAGTTCTTCAGGTATCAAGGTAAATCTGTAGGTTTCAAGCTGATTAACCTTATTCTAAGTATCTGATATTGAAACTGCTGCCACAAGATCTTAACCAGAAGATAAAAATGATAGTTAGAGTAGAAGAGCTAGAATTATCGCAGTGCAAATTTTCATCATATTTGGTTTTTTTAAATTTATGATTATTATAAGCAAAATTCCATCAGAAAATTCCTGGTATAGTCTAATGGGGTTTTGGGGTTTTGGGGTTTTGGGGTT